AAAAAAAAAAAAAAAAAAAAAAGACATTTTTTAAAGAAAATAATATTAGTTTTAAACCTGTTATTCAGATTATTTATTGTATTACTCATATGGCCTTTTTGAAAAGACCATATACTCTCTTATTTCTGCATATTAGGCCAATGCCTATATAGTGTTGAATTCTGCTCCACTCCAGTGGACATTGTATAGAAGTAACTCAGCAGTTAAAAAACTGTAAAATCTTTAATGCCTATGTCATGATGTAGATTAGATTAATAAATATAGGTTGTATCTTCTTTAGCATAGAAGAGCAGGAGAGGCACATTGATGAAGATTGAGCAACCTGGTCTAGTGGAAGGTGTTCCCAGCCATGGCAGGGGGGTTAGATCTAGATAAAATTTAAGGTCCCTTCCAATTTTAACCATTCTATAGTTCCATGATTCAGAAATCACAGATTTAATCCCTACTGCTGCTGGTTGACACAAGGACATGGCACTGTTATGTTGCACATAATCAACTCCCTCCTGCCTTATAAAGAAGAGGTCTAAGAAAATAGCATGCTGTGTGTCTCTATTATCATCTATAATAACAAGTTATAATAATCACAGTTACCACAGTGATCCACTATGCTGCCCTGTCATTTTATCCACTTCTTGCCTCCTGTCTTGCTTCAAGATTTAGCTTCTTTACTCTTTTACTGTAAATGCACATGCTGTGCCATTTACAAAACCTAATTTCTTACCGAGGTTTCAATTACAATTCACTTAGAGCTGATCTGTACTGTATTTTGCAGGAGGTTGTGAGGAAGCGCCGTCTGGGGCTGTCCCTGTTTCCAAGATCTAGGTGTGCTTTGAGCTAGGCAGAGACTGTGTGAGCACCACCAAGCTCAGCTGAGATGAGCTGGAGTTTGCCTGCAAAATGCTGTGCAAATCTAATTTCATGTTGCTAGGGTGGCTGTTCCTGCCATCCTGGCCCTTCCAACTCTTTTACTGTACGTGGTTTTGTCTATTGAGTGCTCAGTGAATACAAGGTTGAGACCATGGTGCATAAAAAGTGTGCAAGAGTCCTTACACGCTCAGATTGCGACTGGCCCTTGGGATCTAGTAAAACAGTTGGCAAGTGAAACAAGGATACTCACTTCTGGTGTAAAGAATTACTATACTAAGTTCACATACCTTCAGATCTTCACTTTGTAAGGAAATAATCATATTAAGCACAGTGTGAATATTCTGTAATTAAGAGACAATTTCTTAGGTATCACTTATTTATAACAGAGGACATCATTTTGAGAAAGGAGAGACCCTTCTGGGCTTTATTATATTTGAATTAGTACATTACAAAAGAAAGACAGCATTGATAAACACCATCCTAGAGACATCTCTGCTGCTACAAATAGAGGATCTGGGATTTGTGTGGAGCAGCTGCTGCTGCTATTTAAGAAAGCAGGGTGCTGCTATAGGTCATGAACCACTTGGGAAAGCAAGGATCTGCACAGTAGGGACTTCCAGCCTCCCAGGGAATAGCTGTCCTTGTTGCTGTTTTGTTAGAGTTTTATTACTCTCTTTAACCATCATTTAAGTGTTTATTCGGCATTCTCTATGCTTTTATGAAAGGGGAATTAGGACCTTTCTCAGATCTTGCTACTAAGTTGCCGGAAACGCATTAGCAGTAGTCATTACCGTCCTCAGAGGATTCTGGAGGGCAGCTTTGTGTGTCATCGCCCCTTGGAAAGACTGTGTTTAAGCAAGCAATTTTGTTTCCACTCCTTTACAATCAGGATGATTCTATTTCTTCAATACCCCCCCAAATCTTACGTGCATTTTCATTTAACACATCTTTGATCACAGTTCAAAATTTTAATAAACTTTCTAAATAAGTTAACTTATGCTGTCATTATTTCTTTTATGCTACTTCATTCATCAGTTCATTGCTACAGCATGCTCTAAAAAACTTGCACATGGTAACCTGCTTTTTTTTTTTTCTGGTTTCAGAGATGAAAGCTGTGAAAATAAGAATTTAACCCGTGACTGTCAAATTAGTAAGAGTTGCCTGAGACCAAATTGACTCAGAACTTGAGGATTTGGTGTTTCTAGCACTACTGCTGTTCACTACCGACTTACAATTATTCCTACAGAGTTTTACACGTGGATTGGTTCAGTTGAACATCTCATTCCGTATTTCTGGCTCCAATGAACTGTGAGAACAATGTCAGAACAGGTAAGAGTATCACTATACTACTCTCTAGCTTTACTTTGTATCAATGAAACATAGGGCTTCTTTTAACATAGAAGCTTCTATGGCTTGCTTGGTCTTTTCCCAAAATATAAATCAAACAGCATAAATTAAATAGCATCACGTGCAAGCTGAAAACAGCTCACAAACACAAAGATAAAAATAAACTTACTTTATTATCAAACATAGATACTATGTTATATAGCTTCTGACCATTTTTCTACCACCTAGGGTTTTTTTGAATCTGAAATTCTTTCTATTCCAAGTCATATTTGCATCATCTTGTTCCTATGTAGTATGCTGATATAATTTATTGCCATTTTTATAATTAGCAGTTTGGACAAAGTTCTTTTTGGATATCAGGATAAGCAAATAAAATTTAGATCTAAACATCAGATACACATTCTGTGGTTACAGCCTACGACCATGGAACTGAAATTTGTCAACTCAGTTTGATAAAATATACATTTTATATAATCACTGAGATCTTATTTATTATTTGTTCGATATAGTTCTTCCCAAGAATTTAAATTTTCTTTTTTATGTCTTATTTTAAATCTGATTTTCTGTGAGTAACAAGACGCAATTACGCTCTCATCCCTATATTTATTCTCTTCCTCAACTTTCCATTACAGATGTCACTTCATCTGCTTGAAAGTATTACTTGCTATGGAAGCCACCTCCAGTAGACTGAATATTGACAATTGTTTACCAGTTAGTACTACAAAAATGCAAATTACTTCACCTCTATACCAGTATGGAATATTTCTCTCTTCTGCCTCACACATGTGTATACAACACATGTACAATGCATAACACAATGCATAGAGAGAGGCCTTCCTTCTGTGCCAGTGTATTTTAAAAATATAGTATGTGATTTTCTAAGCAAAATACCTCAGACAACTCAGCCCTTAGGGTCTGCAGTGCAAACACTGTTTGAGAGCATCCATAATTTCTGAAGGGCTGACTGCTACAATCTGTGTGTGCTCAAAATATCCACTTAACTCAAAGGGACTTAAGCCACAGAATAATGCAGGCCGAGTATCCAAAACTAAATGGAAATTTCAGATAAACTAAGCCTCTCTCTGAAGTATTTAAGTATTTTTGAAGGCCCATAAGGAGTGATAAAGGCTGCATGCTTCCAGGGATCCCACACCTCCCAGGATGAATTCAGCATATTCAACATCTGCTAGCTGAACCCCAAGTGAGGAGAACAGCTTCTCAGGAGGCATCCTGCCTAGTTATCAACTTCCACCACTTTGTAAGCACAGTCTGAATTCAAATTAATTGACAGCCTCACTCTGATTGATAAAATACAATTCTACCAAACATATATTATGTCTGAGTACTTTTGTTGCCAGCAGGAATTGATGGATATAGACACCACTGCATACATCTTCAGATCAAGACCTACTTTACAGGAGAAGATCGAGTTTTGCTCTTAACTTCAGGTAAAACCAAGAACAATCATGTTAAGCCTTAAATTATATTAATGTATATATACTATGTTTTTTAAAAAATCATATATAAATTCTTTGCTCTTCAATTTTCCTGGAATTTGTCCATGGACAAGTACACTACACAATCTAAAGCTGACATATCCTTTGCTGCTTTGTTTAAACTACTCCTTCTACCCCTGCCCTGAAATTAGAATATGGCAACATTTTATTTCAGTGAAGTTACTGAAAACTGTTGTTAGTCTTTGGATTGTATATTCAGCATAATGTTCATTTGCAAATAATTCCCTATTTTTACTGAACCATACAAATGAGCAGTTTACACACAACTAAGTTCTAAATACATTAATACATATAATATTATGTAGATAACATTCCGCTTAGCCATTACTTCTGTTAAAAAGTATTGTCTATAATTTTAGAATCATGAACTAAATATGAATTTAAAAGATATCTTTTAAAAGGAAGTCTGTTCTGAGGAAGAAAAAGGGAAAAAACAGGAAAAAGAGAAAAAATGAGAGGTATGTTCAATGTATTATAAATTTCTGAGTGCCTGTTCTCCAGTTCATCAAAGTAAAATAAACAGCTAACATAATAAAACTTTTATATTAAATACAGAAATGAAGAATGCATAGACACATTGATAGCACCTTTAACTGACAGCTGCATTGGCTCAAAAAAGTAATAACTGTCTATCTTTCCAATAAATGAGGGAAGTGTCGTTTCTATTCTGCCAACTGATTGTTGCAGAATATAATGTAATTTAAAGGCTACAGTGACACCACTGAAGCCACAAAGACTTTCTGCTATTGAACCCAACTGAAGGTTTTTTCAGCTGTTGCCACTGTTAAGCTAAACTTCTACCATTGACAATAGGAGTATTGCCTGAATAAGGACTGTAGCATCATTATTCTTTTTCAGCATGAATAAAAAGGAATTAAATCAACTCTGTATTTCTGCCTTTGCACAAGCCAAGAATTAGGTACAGAATCTGTAGGTTCTACATCCCATTTAAAAATTTCATTTTCCAGTTAAAAGTTGCTGGTTTTACTCATTGCTGTCACTGGCACAGCATCTGCAACTTCGTAATTTTCCCTTCTGAGGTCTCATTATAGTAGTGGGAAAGGGTTACTTCTGAAGAAAACCTCCCCCTAAAAAGTCATGCCTTTAATTTATCTTGAAAATTTTATTATTCAAAATATTTGGCAGAGAATTTCTCAAGGTCTGCTTGGTTGTTCAGAACTGTTGCACTTGGAAAGACAAGATATAAACTTTTGGATACATGGGATTATGCATAAATGTACAT